TATGGGTCTGGAAAATGCCTCACCAAGAGTTTTGGCTTAACAGATTGTAGCCAACTGTGAAGCATGGTGGTTTCAGCGTGATGGTTTGGGGAGCTGTTTGGGTTGGTGGGAGATCGGGCTTAGTGGAGTGCGTTGGCAACATAAATTTTGCGAAATACGTTGAAATATTGGAGGAATGACTCTTGCCACGTTATTCCTCGGGTTTCGTGGACAAGAACACAACGTTGTTCCAGGAAGATGGAGCACCGTGTCACACTGCTAGAAACACCCAAACGTGGCAGGAAGAAAATGGTATCCAAAAGTTGCCCTGCCCGAGCCAATCTCCTGACATGAACCCCATTGAAAACCTCTGGGCCATACTCGCCCGGCAAGTCAAGAAACAACCAAAAAACCAACTTCGAAGAGCGATCTACTCCAAGTTTTGAAGTAAGAGTGGGGGAAAATCCCACAATCTAAAATTGACGAGATGATTCTCACGATGCCCCAAAGCATCAACGAACTCCACGAAGCGAAAGGAAGATCTACTAGATATTAAGTAAATTATAAATATATCAATTCATGCGAATATGACTGAAAAATTTCATTTTTTTTTCTGAAAAGGTGGTGTCTATTTAATATTGACCACGCTGTGTATATATGTATAGCATGTGACCATCGGCTGTAAATTTAACATCAAAACATAATTTGTTAAAAAGCGCACGTGATTTTTCTAAAACCAAATTAAATTTGTTTTCACTGTGAATATAAAATATATTTGTATATTTTTTACAATTTTAAGAAAAATTATATGAAATGCAGTTAAGAGTGTAATGATGTGCTGTATTTTCCATTGGAAAATAAGTTTAATTTTCTTTTACTAAAATCTTGGTTTAATGTTCAGTGGCTCAGCGGTAAATTTCTGGACTTATGACGCTCAGAATCGGGTTTCGATACACGTGCTGGGCACAACACAAATAGTCCATTGTGTAGTTGTGTGCTTAACAAACAATTTTAGGGTTCAACTGAATTCACACTAAAGACGAACAGTGTGCAAGAGTTTCATGGTCAGACAGTGTAGTAGATCTGAACTGACTTTAATTGCAAGCACATGAACATTGTGACAGGGAATGACATTTGATTTCTCTCTCTCTCTGTTTTTTTTTTTCTTTCTTTTTTCTTATGCTTCTTACAATGGCGGGTAAACGTTTTAATGGAAGATTAAATGAATAATATGGTGGTAAACAAGAAGCAGGAACGAATGCTAACTTATATAAAATGACTAAGTGGTGGTAAACAAGAAGCAGGAACGAATGCTAACTTACAGGAAATGACTAAGTGGTGGTAAACAAGAAGCAGGAACGAATGCTAACTTGTATAAAATGACTAAGTGGTGGTAAACAAGAAGCAGGAACGAATGCTAACTTACAGGAAATGACTGCCGGAAATAATTGTCGTTATCTTTTCCAATTTTTTTGTAAACTCGTAACAGATATTCGGACTAGAAGTTAATAACTGCTAGGTTTTGTGTTAGACTGTTTAGAGTGAAAACATTGTTCACCAGTTCCTACTTACAGTTTATTTTTTATTGCATTCTCTGATTAAGTTTTCACACGGAAATTTTAAGTTAACGTAACCACCAACCAAAGTAAGTCAATCCCATAATTTAATGAACATTCGTGCTTCCAACCAAAAATTACTGTACAAGAACAACATTTAAAAACTACACGAACTAGTTGTTACAAGTTAACACTATTTCATATGGAATCAAATTTAAATCCTATAAATGTTTAGTTTTCGTTATCCCCACTAGATGGTGACTAGCCGGAAGAAGGGTGATGACTGATGTTTGTTTATTATTGTATAACTTTCACGTTAACTAGGAAATGCAATATTGTATGATGACGGAGTAGCACATGAGCTAACCAAGCTACGTATAGTACCGAAACAGGTTTGGGGGGGGGGGGGTAAAGTGATTCAACGAATATCGTTGATAAGATTACGAAGCTCAGTGTGAGCATTGAAATATCTTGAAAAAAAAATACTCCAAAATTGATCATCGAAAAACTTTTGGTAGTGATTCGTAAAAGCGTGTCCTCTTCTTAACTATGTAGGCTTAGTTTATGTAGTTTGGTGTATTAATGATTATTTATTGGAAGAGACACTTAATTTATTAAACGTTTAGAAACTGCTGTGCAAGAAGTGCACAGTTTTACAACTTTTACTTTGTGCATACATTACATTACTAAGTCACGATCTGATTCTTAAAAATAGATATATATTAAAAACAGTGCACGGCCAACTTCGATTCAGTTTAACGCATTTTAAGTGAATATTTTTAATGTGCCACTATGCGCAGTATTAAAAAAAAGCTAAGGGAATTAACTCGTGACTATTCTCCAGAAAGGATACTGCTAATACTTTTTGTATTACAGATTAGAAATCCCTAGCTTGTTCGAGCAGTACATAAATACTAACCTATTACATTTTCTTATATACATATTTTTTTTCTTCTTCAAACGCTATTTTATCACACGTACTTGGACAATCAAGTTTGAGTCTTTCGGAGAAACTGTTATAGTAACCGTAGAACCAAACGATAAACACATCTGCTGTCAGATAAATGTCTTTAGGCCGATTGATACTGATCAAACCACTGTGCCACAAACATTAGCACTATTTCACACCGATCAGAAGCACGCACTAACAACATGTTTTAACCATGGCACCCGAGTACCCAGTGTGGCTGAGGGGGGGGGGATTAGCCATGTTAAAATGTATTGCATGTAATGCATCGAGTACGTCACATATGTTAGTAATGCTGAACATGCGACTTAAAGGTGTATATCCCTGCACACTCATTTGTATGCATATCTATTGCTACACACACATGTTTGCAGATTCATCTTTGAACCCACACCCTAACATGAAAGCGTAAAGTTTTTTTGTGTACATACGTGTATCTATATAAATATAATAGTACTTACTGTCTGTTGTCTGTCCATGTAACTAATTCGCGGGTTGTGGATGGACCTTCACTAAATTTGGTATGTAGGTTTGTTGGGTCCAAGCGGAGATGCATGCAAATTTTCAGTTTTGCGGTTTTTATGGGCGTTTTTGCGTCCCCCCTTTATTTACCACTACTTCGCCCCCTGTAGGTGGATCTTCACCAAATTTGGTATGTAGGTTTGTTGGGTCCAAGCGTAGATGCATGCAAATTTTCAGTTTTGCAGTTTAGGTTTTGCGGTTTTTATGGGCGTTTTTGCGTCCCCTCCCCCCTTTATTTACCACTACTTCGCCCCCTGTAGGTGGATCTTCACCAAATTTGGCATGGAGGTTTTTTGAGCCCATGCGGTGATAGAGGCAAAGATGCGTTTCACATTTTGTATTTTTGTTTTTTGTTTACAATTACATATAAGGAAATCAACTTTTCCTGTCCTAAGATAACCTTTCATTAATCATGAATTTACATAACTTCCATACAGGGAACGGGTACTCCAGCTAGTTGGTATTAAAGTAACCAGTTACGCGACGTATATACATCGTATCAATATCTTTATTTTTGTTATGTATTTTAATTTTTCTGTTTAATTGTTGCATGCTTATATTTGAATATGAAAATGCGATCAATTAAAAGAATGAAAAAAAATATATATGTTAATATTTATTTTACACCATGATGACCGTAGTGCACTTGATAATTTAGATTATTTTACTTTTATAGCATCAAACTAAGCCTGTCAGGAAGCGGTGTCAAACAGTGCAGCCTCGTACTAAAGCTAGACAACGCCTTCGAAAAATTACTAGATCAAAACAGGTAAGCATATAAAATATAAAGATACGTGTTTTCTGCCTGAAGTAACAAAATAAGTGGAAAAGGTGTAATTTTGTTTTGAGTTGAAATCTGCTAACGTTGTGTAATTTTTATTATTTTAACCTCAAAGGTGACGAGTCCACAAACCACATTTGGTATATTGCTTGCAACGTCTGCAGATATCACCTTAGTGTAGAATTACCGATGTTAGTTGCATGCGAGATAGTGAAGATATCACGTAATATTTTTCTTCGTGCGGTACGTTTTATGAAACAACAACATTATAAAGTTGTAAGTCTTCGCCATGGACCGAGCAGTTCGAGACGTAGTGCCCCCCGAACATGGATAGGTTATAAAAGAGACAGTTACTCCCGTTATTTGATTCAAAGGACCAGACGTGGTCCTTGTGATAACAAGTTCTACTGGCTGGCTGATTTCCCTCTGGTCAGTAGTTCAAACTTAGGGACGGTAATACTTAATTCCTAGAAGATCTCTGAACTGTCCATTTAGCTTACATAAGGTGCCGTTCTCCGTGCAGTAGAATAGATAAGATTTTAAGTTTCAAAAATGAATGTATTTAACCTAACTAGAAATCCGTGAGGGGGGTACCTTTTTGGTGGAGGGGGGTCATATTAAACGCTACTGAAGCATTCCGCTGGTATTCAAATGATCATTTTAATGGTTTTGTAATTGATGTTATGTCGATACCATAATACATCTTGATTGAGTTTTTGGTTTTAGTAGTATTGTTATTAACTTTCTTGTTCAGGGCCTGACATGGCTATTAGTTGACAGATAGAAGTTTCGAAGTTTTTTTTTGCGTACGATTACCTTCTTTTAAAGACGGATAATAACTGAAGTGCTTGACTCTTTTCTTAAGAGAAAAGTGACGTAAGTTGATATCAACTTGGTAAAAGCTTGTAGGTAAACTGGCGTCAGTTGAACAATCACAAGTATAGCTTACCACGTGCTTTCAGTGTCGTATTGCAGTAGAAACTGGTAACGGTGTTTTATTTAGTAGAACTGGGTATGAAATGGAATTAATTAAGGCTTCACGAGAGAAGTTTGCGATTACTTGTATTCAAGTGGCTTTAAAACAAAAGACTTTGGCCTGTCCCTTTTATGTTCAAGCTACAAGCTTTTTCCATTTGGTAATAACATAACTTTATTCTGGGCCTTCTGATTTAATGAGTTGATTTAACCCAGCCTTAGAAAGGAGCGTCGTACTGTTTAAGCGTCTATTATAAAGAAGTTTGTGGCGGGAATGGTACTTTAATTGTGAGACTTGTTAATAATCGTGCTTGTAAAGTTTATATAAACTTCCCATCTAGTCAAAAAAAGAGGGTTATTGTGAAAGTAAAGTTACTTTTTTGTCAGATTTATGTTATTGAGTGGAAGATAAGTTTGTGTATCACAGTAGAAAGTAAATGGTGGAATCATTGTGAAATTGGAACGTTTAGCCTTTTGTACCTTGTTATTACCTCTTATAAAATATTACTTATTTAATTTTTGGTCACATTGGTGTGAAAGGTGTCAGTGCCACAGATGGCTGGCACTGACTTTGGAAGAATACAGTCATTGCATCATGGTAGAAGACAATTATGTCTCATGTTATATTTTTAATGTTTGGTCACATTGGTGTGAAAGGTGTCAGTGCCACAGATGGCTGGCACTGACTTTGGAAGAATACAGTCATTGCATCATGGTAGAAGACAATTATGTCTCATGTTATATTTTTAATTTTACCTTTGGTGAAATGTAAATAAATCTGTAATATAGTTATTTGAATAATAAATTAGGTGCACTTTCGTAATATTATTTACACACCTAAATTTAAATTATATTGCCATTTGGTGTGTGAAAATAGAGTTAAAACCCCATAAATATATAATATACTTATGCGATACCTCGGGTTCGAATTATTATGGCCAGAGCGACCAAGGACTCGGCTGCATACTATAAAAGTCAGGTCTGAAAATGCTTTATTAGGTCAGCAGTTCGGGCAACATGGGATTAAATGTCATAGTCTGACTGGTCACAACCAAGTCTTTCTTTGTAACAGGATGTTAAACAACAAAAGGGATTACACGTCCGATCTTGCTGTGCCAGTGTATGCAAATATTCCACTCAGATATTCTGTAAATACACCACGTATGATCTGTCTTCTTAAGGGACTCGCACGTTGTTACTTTTCAAGCACCTTACTGGACCATCACCTACTGACAGCAACTTGCGCAAGTTATAACATGGCTACCTGCTCGCTTACACGTGAGATTTCCCGCCATTGTTTTGTTCCAATGTTAAAGAGAGTGGGAAACTGCTGCAGAGTGTAATATAGTACCTGTGTTGGTGGCTGAGTGTAATGTAGTACCTGTGTTGGTGGCTGACCTTACTGCTGCTGGCCCGGGAGACAAAATAGTGCAAAGCAAAAAAGACCAAAAATAACTCCTATTTTACAAGCTAAGCATAACTCGAATAAATGGTTTGCGCGACTTTTTCTATTTATGAAGTTACGCTAATGCAGAGCGCAGTTATACATCTAAATTTAACTTGTATAGCGAATAAATAGTGGGGAAAATATTTATCAAAAACCTGTAATTTCAGGAATATTTTACCTCTTAAAAAATCAACTATAATCGTATCAGAACTAACGAAAACTTTAGGTACGCCGTGTTTTCCTTTGTTCTGGAATAAACCACTTTAACTGCAGTTTCATGTCATTGGATAAATTTGCAAACCTTTGACTATTACATTTCCATCAAACTAAACCCATCCTTCACCAGAAGTCAAGTAATTGTATACAGGATGTCTTCCTTTGGTGAAGTATAAGTTAAACAACAACTTTTACCAGAGAAACCCTGACCTGTTATTAATATTTCACTTCCAAAAAATACATCTTTAATACTGCAGTACTGTACATATAAGGACATCGTATAGGAAATAAGTGTTTGACAAAAACCATCTGTCGACCTGTGTTGTAACCAGTGTCACTGTGTTCTCTATTACCCCACTATTATCTAGGAACTAGAAAAATCAACTAGACTGTTATCGTGTATAATGTAATCAGAGGCGTAATACAGTAAATGTAACCCGTCCACAGTTGTCAACAGAATCTGGATTACTGTTGACCATTTGTTCTCTCAGCTACTGTATACGTAGGGATGAGTTTCTTCCGTTATTATTATTATTTTTTTTTGACGGATTTCCGTGATCATTTTCTAACAGTCTGGGAAATTTGACTTTTAGAAATGGTTTTTTGCTGTTGTTGAATTGGGAGGATTTACGCAACGCGCACGTCCAACGCTTTAGACCAAATGAAGGAACCGAGTTATGAGAACATTAAGGTGATGTTGTTCGAAAAACTTAATAATCTTTCAGGTAAGAAACATGAAAATGAAGGAATGCAAATGTTCAAATTCCTGTATACTAGTACGTATATAAAGAGGATGTAAATTATTTTTGAAATTTGTTACCGAGTTTGTTAAGCGATAGTTAATGCAGTTTTCATGTTACTGTTTCTGAAGTCTCGTTGTTGTACTTTATTTTACGTTTTAGACTCGTCATAGTTCCCCATCTGTAAAACTAGTGTTTGATGTTTATCAAACTTGTATACTGTCGTTCAGTTTTGATCAATAACAAAATGGTCACCAAGTATTGATCATGGGAAAGGGAAAACCTTTTTTTTTACCAATTGTATGAACCTTCGTCGTTTAGACAAACAATGCTTGTGAAAATGTAGATAATACTTGGCTGAGTTTCCAGTTGGATTGAAAGTTCGGTTCGTATTTTGTTAGAGCGCCACGTATTTGGTTGTTTGCATGAAGCGCAGAATGGTGGCGTAGCTAGCTATTTTGTTTCTTATTTTGACAACGTGTGTATGAGAAACGACTACATGATGTTAACACTATTACTTAATACAACACGGAGTGTAAGAGAAGGATAAACTCCAATGCTTCGAGTTCAACGACTCTTAGACCTTCATGTCTGGATGAACTTCTTAGTCTCCCTTTGGTAAGGAGCTATGCCATATAGATAAGGCCACCGCGAGTCCGCTTGCTAAGTTTGGTCCCGCTAACTCCAGAACTGTGGAAGGAGTTAGTTACACACACACATTAAAACCACAAGCTGGATTAATAAAGTACGTGTATATAAAAGAGGATGGAATTTTATTCACTTTGATTTGAAGATGCTACCGGTAAGTATCCTGGATTTAGCAGGTTGTCTAACTAATATATACAGGACTCCGGCTACAACACCAACTTAATGTGTTACTGGCCTGGGAATATTACGAAGTTTTTCAATGACGTCACCACACATCACGTTAGAAATCCCGAAACGTCATTGTAATACAATAAAGCAAACCCTTCAAACACACCCCATCCCCACCCCCAGACTGAGCTGCTTTTAGTAGCTCTTTCTTCTTTCAATCTGTCATTGTAAAAGCTGGATGTCTAGCCAAGTACCTCCATTTTGCAACACCTTCCTACACCACTGCTTATAACAATGTTTGTAATCGATGCACGGATCGGAATTTGAACTTGCTACCGTTAAGTATGTAAAATAATAACGCAAGCGTTGTGGAAATGATTGAAAATAAAACGCTTTAACTCCCTGACTTCATTTGATTGAATAAACTGATATGCAGCACTGTGCATTTTATTGTAGGGCTGTTTTTATTTTTAATTGTTATCTCTACTATGCTAAAACAGTGACGTTAGAAAAAAATTGACAATTTTAAATTAGTTTTGCATCTTTGTAATTTTAATTTTATGTCACAATTCTAGCTGTTTTACCAAAGTACACATAATGACACGATGAATATTACATTAAAGACTTAAACTGAATAGCAAGTCTGCAATGGACAATCGTGTTCTTGACCCCCCCCCCCCCCTAATTCCTAGAGCGCTATTTTTGAAACATCAAACTTGACGCACGTTCTCCGGAAAACGGCGGATGCCCTGACTTTTTTTTTCGGTATAAGCCCCTCGTTGGGATGTCTATAGAAGTAACTGGGCATAATGGAAGAGCTTGATTGGTACATTGAGGCCCCTGTGAATCACGAGATTGCTTTTGAACCCCGAAGTGGAACGCGGGAACGTTATGCTAGTTAAATGTAATTGGTAGTGTCTTGGAACCAACCTCTAGGAGATTAAACAGATGGGAAGTTTGAAACAGAAAGCTGTTGGAGAAAAGAAATGTAATACATGAGTACCAGTGGCACAAAAACCCCAGTATATGGATAAATAAATAATAGAGAGAAGAAGAGAGGCGACAGTGAAAACCCATATTTTGGTGATAACACAAGAAAGTAAGTAGGTGGCATAGGAGGAAACCATAATTTGTAGAGTGCCATGTCACCATCCAGGTCTCGTTAAATACAAGCTAGTGTTTCCAACCTTTATTTTCATATATGACCAACCTGCTAGACAACCCAAAGAGGACCACTCATCGAATATCTAGCATGTAGACCATGTTAAAATAGGCAAGTTCTTGATAAAACCTTTGAATGTGTGAGACAACTCCTTAGGGCGAGATTATAGAGGCGCTCAATGTTAAGTACACCCTTTTTGTTTAAACTTGTAGTTAAGTACAAAAACTGGAACTAAGGCTTTGAACACCTTCTATGAATAAAGATATATATTAATATATTTGTTAGAGAAATATTCTAGTTATGTTTACTAAATACCTCGTGACCATTTGCGCATCTGGCTCCGAGGATAGGATAATCAGGCTAAGGGGACTTATAAGTAATGGATTTACCATCTCTGTGTAGTCTTAGCTTTTTGAGGTGTAATGGTTTCATTGTGTGTTGGACACAATGTAAAAATATACTTTTAACATTGTAATTAATGGGATAAGATTAAGGATACTATTATGAGATCGTGATATCAGATTTCGTTTAAAAAATTCGATGATTATTTTTCCCGATTTTCCTCTGTTTTTATTATGTTTTGTGTGGTACTAGATTGATACTAGAAACATCAAATGTTACAATATTAATCTCAATGATTGTATAAAACCTTATTAATAATATCTTGGTAATCTATATATATATAAAGACGAAATGTATGTTTGTTTGCACCCTAATTCCTATTGGGCCAATATCAACCAAAATTTGTATGTAAACACTATGAACTATGGGAAATGTCCTAAAGGGGTCAAAATTTAACTTAACCCTATTTCTATTTTGTAAAGCCTGTTGTTTAATTGCCTCTAGCCTATTGAGTCAATCTCGAACAATATTGGCAGGTGGACGCTTTAGACAATGTGTTGAATATTCTAAAGGGATTCAAGGTCAAAGTATAAAAGTTGCTGGATTGTTTCTCAAACAACCATGCTTTTCTCATGGTCAATGAGATGTAGGGTGTTCAAGGCTAGGATCACCTCAAAATCTTTATTTGATGGTAGATGAAAAGCAAACTGCAAATGTTGTTTATGAAGAAGCTTTGTTATAAGTTTAAATTGTTTAGATAAAGTTTATGTTCAAGTTATTATTTTAAAATATATGATTAGTAGTAAACTTAAATAAGTTTAAACATTCCTTGTCACTTGACGGGTATTTCAGCTTGTACCATATATGGTAAGAACTAGTTATATAAAATAGGGGACTTGTTTATTTTTTTGTCATAAATCAACCATGTGTCGGTTGTGCATTCTTAGTAAAGGTAATATGCCCCCTCCTAGTGGCACAGCGGTAAGTCTGTGGAATTATAACACCAAAAACCGGGGTTCGATACCCGTGGTGGGCATAGTACAGATAGACCATTGTATAGCTTAGTATTGGATTACAAACAAACAAACAATTTAAGGTAAAAGTTTACAAAACGTTGATTAATTTACAGTTCAGTGCGCCTCTATATGTCCTGAACTAAATTTATTGACGTTAAGTTATCAAAATACTGCCCTTACATAAGTGTCCCTACACGTTTTGAACGTGTGACAGGCTCATGAGATATACTTTACAAATAACTCAGTAGTTATAAATATTGAAATACCGTATTGTCCCGATTATAGGGCGATCTAGAATATAAGGCGACCCCCATTTTAAGAAAACATTGGAAAGAAAAAAAAGTGTCATAACGTCCTTTTTTGGGGGGGTTCGCAAAATCAATAATATAACTGAACAGCCTGCAGGTGGATTAGTTGCAAGAATTAGCGATGACCTTGAACGAACATTAGCCGCGCATGCGTAGACGGATGCTATCTGGACATTCAGGAATGCAACAGGCTAGAGTAGAAGGAAGGGGCCTGTGGTCAGACGCTATTATAAGGCGACTATGAACTTTACAACCTAATTATTAATGAAAAAGCTTCACCTTATATTCGGCACAGTACGGTACATCAGTAGCTTATTAGTGTGAAAGTTTAAGCAAAATTCAAATACGTTGTGAATTAGGTGAATTTCAGAGACAAGAGATTATAGGGCGCTGAAAGTATTGTATTTCCAACATTAGTCACATGCAACTTACTATGCACGAACATTCAGAGATAACAGGACATTAAGATTTGTTAAGGTTATGAATTAGTGTCGAAAATAGCCTTTTACAACAAATTCACAGTGACTTAACTGTATTAATGGAGCCACAAGTGAATGGAGTACCTTCTGTACGATTCATGCAATGTGGCTTCTACAGAAGGGTTTACGTAAAGAAGAATGTTTTTCTTTATTATTGTTTTTTGGTGTGATTAAAGTACATGTATTTCTAAAATAAATTTAACTGTAGATATTTTATAGCTCAACTTTGCACTTTCATAAGCTGTATTTGAATATGGTAAAATCCATGTTTAAAATGATGACAAAATTTACACAAGTAATATATCTTTTGTGATGTGGAGGTGCTATATAAATTACAGGTAATTTATCAAGTGTATCTTTATGACACAGGTGTACTAGTTCGTTATATATTCTTGGTAAGTAGGTTAATTTTCCGGCCCTTAAATTATATATATGTATATATATATATATATAGGCTGCTTTTCAGACATTTAATTTGTATATAGTTGACAATTTTAACACTACACCACTAGTTCGTAACAGTTGTGTTACTTCATCCAAAATGATGACCAAATACAGTTTTCGACATCTAGGTGAACAATTCGACATCATTGTGTCTGTCAACTGTGGTGACTCTATGGTTGAAAGACTACATTCTGTGTATCAAGTTAGGACTTATTCGTGAAGTACCTGGACTTCTAAATAAATACTCATGGCAGAGTTTTTTGGTTCACAGAAAAAACGCGTTGTTGTAGTATAATTATGTCCTCTACCACATTGGCCACTATTCAGTTCTTCACATTAGTGAATAGTGGCCAATGACACTTTTTCTTCACTTCACCTATCCAGTGTATAGGTTCTTTTAATATTGATTACAAAGCACGTTCACACCAACAATATGTTTTATACTTTTCGTTATGATATAGGTCCAGCTTATCTCTCTTTGGTTAACGTGTGTTCAGGGTTACCGGTGAGGAGTTGAATTCTCCGAAACTAGTATAACCCAGTAATACATGTTGATTAAAGTGTAGATTGAACTGGACTTCCCTTGAACTTAGACTTTGAAATAAAACAAATTTCGAAATACTAAGTTTATTTATTATATCTGTTACTATATGTAAGATAATTCTCGCGAAGCAATCTGAAATCGTACTTTTGTTTTTTTACTTCGAGGTGTTAAACAAATAAACTCACATGTGATGATACCGGGTGGGTTTATTGTAACTACTCATGTCTACCCTTCTTTGGTTTCTTCTGTGTAATAATATAAATTTTAACTAAGGTTTTGGGTAAGGTTTGTCAAGTACTGGAATATGATCGGCATAACAAAGCGAAGCTCCCATCAGAGATGGTGTTTTTCATCGTATATGGTGTTTCGCGTGATATGAGTGAAATATGATTAGCAGGTGATTTGAAGGGGTTGAGATACCTATCTTAGTGGCATGACAATATTAAAGGAAAGTTATACAAATAGTATGATGTCAAGGTTTACTTGTCTTCCTGATGGGCAGGGTATATTTGTGGAGTGGCAGCCATATTGTCCCGTTATCTCTTATGTATAGTCCATTTCATGAGGCCCGGTATGGCCAGGTGATTAGGGCGCTTGACTCGCAATCTGAGGGTTGCAGGTTCGAAACCCCTTGCCCCCTCTCAGCCTTGGAGGCGTTATAATGTGACAGTCAATCCCACTATTCGTTGGTAAAAGAGTAGCCAAGAGTTGGCGGTGGGTGGTGATGTCTAGCTGCCTTCCCTCTAGTTTTTCACTGCTAAATTAGGGACGGCTAGCGTAGATAACCCTCGTGTAACTTTGCGCAAAATTCAAACCAAACCAATTACATAACTTGTATGACGTCAAGGTTTACCTGCCTTCCTGATGGACTGGGTATGTTTGTGGAATATTGTGTCACATTGTCCTGTTAGCTCTTGTGAAGACTCCATTCCAATCAACACGTTTCTGTTTGTAGATAAGTAACGTTCTACAGAAATTTATGGTACAGTTATTAAAATTAACTTTACATTTCTGCGCTCTTGTCGTTGATTAGCCATGTTTGTTTTTGTTTTTTGTAGAAACTCGCTGCGTTACGGGATAAGGATCGATCATCAACCGGTATGTAGTACAGAGTATATTACGTACAATGGTGTGATACTTTGTAGACAGCTGAACGTGTCCGAGAGTTATTGTTACTTGTTTTGTGTATATAAATAACAAATACCTCAATTTTCAGTGCACTATATTTACATAATTATTGTCATAAACTTGTACATAGGCCGATTAATTCTAGGTTTATTACAATTGCGTGAGTGTGTGTGTCTATATATATATTAAACTATAAATATAATATTAACAGTTGTAATTTCTTTGTGCTTCAGTAAGGTATTCGTTGCCTATGTTTGCCTTGGGTAGTTGAAAACTGATTTCAAGAGTTAGACATGGGGTATCCTCTTTCAGTGATAACGAGGATTAGTTTCATTGTTTAATGGAATTCGTTACCCTAAACTGAATGTGACATATTGTGTCTTAGCTTATATTATTGCGAACTTTGTGAAGTCCTCCTCCTTATGCCACTAACTTTGGTGTGAAACCTTCACACTGTAACAGACTTTTTACGCTCGATCGTCAATCTCTTTACAGAATACTGGATAAGCAATGGTATGTCTGCTCACTAGGTTATAAAAAATTATCCAGTTTTATATATGATGGTATTATATATACAAAGATAATTTTTTTATCTCGTAACATTCTAAGTGATGTGTCTCCTTGGTATTCTTCAAGAAAAACACGTGAGCACGAGAGCCCAGCAACGTCGACACCAGTTCGTAGACTTTCAACCTAGAGTGTTAGGAGTACGAACCAGGAATCAAACTGGTTAGTTTCAAACATAGTCTAGCTTTCTGTATTTTAAATTGATTATCATTTTTGGTTGTTTTTATGATTATCTAGTTATCGTGTAATTCATCAAATTTATTAAGATGAAACGTGTGACGCATAAAATAATTAATACTGTAGTTACTAGTTTGTTTCATCCATTATTCTGTGAAAGTGACGTCAGTAACCTTTTTTGCCGGGAAGGTAATATATATACGGTTGAACGTTTCTACAGAGATCAGTAATCCTATATCGGATACTATTGTACAGTTTACTTCTTTCAAATTATTGTCAGCTTCTTAGAACATTTTTTTTCAAAATCCGTTTTTTGAAAATTAAAACTGTACACGTCGTTTCACTTATCTTTTGCAGAATTATACAATAAGTTCCTCAGTAACTGAACTTTCAGAGAAATGAGTGTTTGTGATATATGTTTTTGTAATCTTTTCGTTTTAAAATCCGTAAGCTAATGATTGAGAATTAAATATGGCCCAAAGCAAGTTTTTTCCAATCTCGTACAAGAGGGGCCTTGCATGGCTTGGTGGTTTTGGCTCTCGACTCGAAATCTGCGGGTCTTGGGTTCGAATCCCTGTCACATCGAACATGCACTTTCAGCCGTGCGGGCGTCATAATGTGACGGTCAATCACACCATTCATTGGTAAAATAGTAGCACGGGAGTTGGCGGTTCGTGATGTTGACTAGCTACCTTCCCTCTAATCTATCATTGCTAAATTACGGACCGACTGGCGCGGATAGCCCCCATTTAGCTTTGCGCGAAATTCAGAACAGTACAAACTCGTACAACAGATGGTATGTATTAAAGCCCTTGGGTGCTGTTGACTAGCTTTCTTCCATCTAGTCTGTTAGTTCAAAATTGGGAAAGGCTATGTGTAGATGGGCCTTTGTATAGCTTTGCGCAAAAAGTCTGAAACAAACCAACGAACTGTGTAATTGAAAATAAGACTGTTGAAAAAACAACTTTGAAGAACTCTATATATTTGTGGTAGGATTTTTCCAGTTAAGCTACATTAGCATTATATCCTAATGTCTGACTAAGAACATATTAAAGCGTAGTTTGTTTTCCCTTTTCGTTAGGACTGAATGGAAACCTGTCGTCTAGAAGCTGTAAAAACAATAATAAATACACTAATGTAAAAAAACGAGAAAATGAATTTGTTCATGAAGTCAAAAGTAAAAGGAATCTCCGAAAACACCTGCTAAAGAATGTATACGTGGAAGAAAAAGGTTCAGGAGATGAAAGTATTGCAAGAAAGCCCGAGGAAGAGAATGCAGATTCAGCGTTAAAATTGGCCAAAACTAACACGCCCATGTCGCGATGTACTTCGTCTTGGCAATCAAAGCAAAAGAAACAGAATGGTCGCCATGCGGTTCGAAGAAAACGATTAAAATCAGGATTGGATATGATACCAAAACCATACAAAAGGAAGAAGACAAAACCGGTAAAATCTGATCTACCAGTAAATGAGGAGTTAACAGATGCCTTTAGTCTGGAGAACTGCAAAGAAGAGAGAACTAAAACAAAATATGACAAGGTGTGTTCCTAATCTGGAAGTTTATAAACTGTAGGAAAATGTGATCAGTGATAGAAAATTAAACAGGTTAAACATATCGGGCAAACTGTACCTATAGGGGTTAAAATGTATCAAAGCTACGAACATTTTAAATGAAAAACACTGAAAGTAGTGCTCTTAGAAATATAGAATTACAGTACGTTAAACAACTTCGAACTTACAACAGGCCACAATGTTATTCTTTAATACAGTGTTTTTCCTAACTTTAAACAGCGGTAGCCCCCCCCCCACACACACACATTAAAATCATTTGCGCAAGTGATAACAGTAATATCATCATTTTCATTAACTATTTTAATTTTAAAAAATGCTTGTAATGAGTGATTAAATTCGAGAAAAGAAAAAAAAAGCTTTGAAAGGAAAATTATAGTTTTCTTAAGTTATCGTCGTCTCCAACTCTTCTGTTTCTTCCGTCATTATTTTTAGGCTCTCCCGCAAAAGGCTCCCCCCCCCCCCGCCACCAGTACATCCCCCAGTTTAGAAACACACTGCCTTAATAGAACAATTGACGTGTAGGATTAACTTATGGCAAAATATGTTTTTGTTGTGTGTAATTTGATATTCTTGACACTTTTTAAAAACGTCGCATCAGGGGTTGACCATAGTTTATGTTGTAGTCAAAAATGGGCACATTCTAAAAGGCTGCTTACTTCTGAGGAGAAAGGGACTTCGTCACTTAAGTTATGACTTTACCCTGGCTGGGTTTTGTGGGAAATAAAACTGTTTTGTTAGTCCCGGGTTTTCACTGGCAAGCCTTTTAAAGCACACTATTTTAAGCTCGCTTTCAAAGCTAACCCTAACAGCTCGGCCTCGGCTGTTACTTTAAAGGGTAAATTTTTCTTCCATGAAACATTTTGTTTATTGTATGGGCAAGCTTAGGTGAGCTTGTCTTGAGATTAAACCGTATTGAAACCTCTGAAAACTGTACGTGCAAGGTCATGTTCATACGTTGACAGAGTTATATCTAGTGAAACCACGAGTAACCTGAATAATGAAACCGAACAAGGTCAAATTCATACGTTGACAGAATTATAACTAGTGAAACCACAATTAACGTGAATAATGAAACCGAACAAGGTCATGTTCATACGTTGACTGAGTTATAACTAGTGAAACCACGAGTAACGTGAATAATGAAACCGAACAAGGTCATGTTCATACGTTGACTGAGTTATAACTAGTAAAACCACGAGTAACGTGAATAATGAAACCGAACAAAATATTTTGATTTAAATTCACAGTTTAAAAACTAGAAAACTTCATAAATCCATATTATTCAAAGTGTTAATAATAGCAAAGAAATGGACATAGCTTGCACGTTCCGAGTGACTGACGGATAAATGAGAGAACTTTACGGATAAAAAAGGTGACCTTAAACAGGTAAGCTATGGTCACTCCTTTGCTTTTAAGACTTGCCAAAGTATTTTAATTCGATTATTCTACATCCAGAGTTGTTTTTTTTTTAAATCATATTTTGGAAAGATAATCATATTCTGAGATTTAACTATTTTGTTTAATTATGAAAAAAAAACGAAAAAAACTTTTATCCCCATTCAACTCCACAAAACAACACATCTTTGAAATTGTGTTTATTGCTTCGTTATAAAAAAAAAATCAATTTCAAACGAGTGTGTATCCAGTGAAGACACGTGAAACGTATATCTAACTATCACATGCTGTTTAGCTCTGTCTAATCTAGTCAGGAACTGCTTTTAAAAACATGATGAAACACGGGTTAGTGATACGATTTTCGCTGTAAGATTGATTACTCGAGAGCTAAAAAAAATTTGTTTTTTTCCTTTTCGCCTTAGATATCCTTTGATTTCTCCAATGGCGCCCCTCTTGAAATGAAACGGATAATGGTAAACAAAGCACTGGGGGAAACCGTACTTCACAGAGCTTCCAGACTCGGCTATCTGGTAAGTAGATTTCCATGTACCGTGCTATCATACCTGAGGTTGGTAGTTAGATTTCCAAGAACCGTACTATCATACCGAAGGGTGGTAGGTAGATTTCCAAGAACCGTATTATCATACCGAAGGGTGGTAGGTAGATTTCCAAGAACCGTATTATCATACCGAATGGTGGTAGGTAGACGGCCAAGAACCATACTAT